AAAAAAAAAAAAAAGAAAAAAACGCAGATGTTTTAGATTTTTGGGTAAAAGAAGAGGTGGGTTGGGCCCCATGTGCGGACAGTACGCTGACCCCAGGGGAGGTATTTTTTGCAGAGAAGATCACAGGGGTTACTGTAGCTGAACTCGGCGTACGGTAGTCTTTTTCACTGCATTCTTGTTTATTCGTTCTTTTTTTTGGCTCTTGTTGCCTCGTTCTGCATGGGTGCAAATGAGATAGGTGAATGAATTACAGTGCTTGGGGAATGCAAGCGAGACTGTGGGCTGCTTTTTCCCCCTGGAACAGTTTTCAGATTCTTCAGATATTTTAAAATTAAGTCGAAATTGAGACTTTTGGAGAATCAAAAATTTTTCAAGGGAACCCCTCCCGCCTTCCTTTCCTTATTGCCAGAATTTTCGTACTTTTTTTTTTGGACGGCTGGTTTTCAAGCATTTTACATTTGAAATTAGTGTGCAAATGTGAAGGACGACGTCATACCACGATGACGCGAAAACATAGCGAGGCGGGGGAGAGGGGTACTTTTGCGAAGTGCAGGAACGCGGAATAAGGTTCCGCTTGGTGTGCGCGAGGCACTGCTGCACAGGGATATTATTGGAAGCGTGACCGATTCGATCCACGCATGAATGAGGGAGGGTCAGCGTTCGAATGCTGTCCAGTAGTGAGGGGTCAGTGTTAGGGTACTGTCAAGCGAGGCTAGGGCAGTGTCGTTTATGGGAGTAATCATGTGAATGGGCTACCGGCCGTGAAATGACACATGGATTCTCATCATCCTGGGGCTGACGAGGTGAGATGATGGAGGAGAGTGAAAACAATGGGCTGATGAAGCAGCAGCAGCAGCAGCAGCATGAGCAGGGGGCAGTAGCCGTGGTCGATTGATGCTTGATTTGCATATGCCACATGGATTGGGATGGGATGCGAGAAAGAGAGAAGGTTATTCCTCAGCGCCGCTTTTTTCGACCTCATCTCCGTCGAGTGGCTTGCTGAGTCCAGCGCCGCGACACAGTTTGTCCTCATTCCCTCCGCCTCCGCGACCAAATCAAAAATTCTCTCCAGAAAGCGCTTTTGTTGCTGCTCGTTTATGGGTGTGGGGTGGTGGTCGGGAGGCTGCTGGTGTTATTGCTGGACGACGATGCCCGGCCATCCCGTCTCACTGCCCCTCATCCT